TTCCTGCTCCTCTGATGCTGCTTGGCCTGCTGTGTTCATCCAGCTCTACACCTTGTTATTTTAGATTCAATGTTTGTGTTCAGATCGATTCGCTTGACCTTCCTCTGCAAAAGCCCATGCATTTTTACAGTCTAACTCCATTCTTGTTTCTGCACTGAGAAATATTACTCAACTTTTTATTTCCAAAATTCTTCCTTGTAACTCAGATTAATCCACTGACGAAGGAAGATGAAGGTGTCTATCAGTGTCATGCCAGCAATATCCTTGGAGAGGCTCAGACGGAAGGTACAATCAAGGTCACAGAGAAAGTCCCTCGAGCTAAAGGTATGATTAACACCCGGGAAATGAGCACTAATTTCCAGGGATGTAACATTTCACAAGCCTGACCCTAGAACATCTGCTGAGATCTGGACAGAAGTAATGCTGCATTGAGTTTACCTTCGGCTTCACCAGAGGAGAAAATCCCAGTTTCCACATTTGGAAAGGGACTTAGCTCCAGCCAGCAGGCGTTGCTGAACAGGATGTTTTAAGTTTGCTGTATTTTAACATGAGTTCTCCTGTTCTTCATACAGTTCAGGCCATACTTCTAGGTCACTTTTATAAGAAACTGTTTATGAGCAATCTGGTAAGACTACAGAGCAGTGTGTGCTGAGCTGTACAAGTTCCAACCTCCTACCAGAGTCCTATCACGTGACTGTTGAGGTCACAGTTACACCAGAGCTTACCTCCGAGGCTCACTAACATTTCCTTGAACTTTGCCACACTGGAATATATCCCACACTAGGTTATATGCCACACTCAATTCTACAACTACACACAGCCAGGTTTCTCTGGCACCAAACCATGGACTGAGTTAATGTGCCTGGATTGTGGCACCTGCAGCGGCAATATGAGTAGGGAGATGAATTATAAAGCGGTTTCCTGGTGCCTTTCTCATTTGTAATCATTGGAAACACAAATCTGTTACCAAATGATATTCTGCCTTTAAGCAGCAGTTGTCCCTTTGGTTCTGGTCCTTCTGCCATTGCCACCAAACTTTGCTGGTTCTGTTGTTTGCCATGGTTCATGATCCTGATAATGAGATCCTAACCTGGCCTTGGAGGACCTTGTAAAAGGCTAAGGATAACCACTGAGGTTTAAAATGACTCTACTGGCAATCAGTAAAATACCTGCCCTTTTAACACTGACCAAAACCAACAGCAGAAATCTGATGTTTACAGTTGTACTTCCCCCAATCTCATACACTTATTAGGAATCCAAAGGCCTGCATAAATAAAAAAAAGGATCTTGTTGAACCAGGTGGATCTTATTGACTATGAGATCCTTGATTGGGGTTGTTAACCTGCGCCATTCAGGGAGCCCTGGCTGACTGATACAAACAGGAGATTTAGAATCTCCTCAGTTCAGGGGACTGACTCCGAGCTGGATGGGCACAGGCAGTGTACTGCGCACAAGTAAATAAAGAGTGGCTGGGTGACGTGACCCCAGCCCCGGGCAGTTATTTCATTGACTTAATGTGTGAATAACTTGTGATGCCCACAGGAGAATGTTTGTTCTTCACTTTCTCCCCTCAGACCTCTTTTTTTTTATTTGCTTGTCACTCTGTTTCTCTTCTCCCTCCTTCACTTTTAAATCTAGAATTCTGTGCCCTCCCAGTTCTGTTTCTCCCATTCTGACTGTTTTCCCTCTTTACGTTCTTTTGTCTTATTTGCTTTCTTCCATTATTCATGTTTTTTTCTCTTTTTTCCTATTTCTGTCCATTGCTTCATTCTTATACGATGAGCAGAACTTTACACTATACACTGGAGGCAGCTTGGCAAGAGGGCAGAGGGCTTTAAAATTAGGGCTGATGCCACAGACAAAATTTCCAGTGTTTCTTGATGTGCCCCCAACCCCACTACAACTTTAGGTGTGGCGAGGGTTGCTGGAACCAAAGATTAAGGTGTTCAAGTCTCATTCCTCTTACTACTGAGGAGAAAAGGGCAGTCGTCTTTCTTTACTGATCCCACTGGACCATCAGAGAATCTGTCCCAAGGTCTAGCCTCCCCAGATTTCCCCTTCCTCCCGCACCTCTCCCAAGCCTTTGACCACAAGACATAGGAGCAGAAGTAGGTCATTCAGCCCATCGAGACTGCCCAGCTATTCAATTAGATCTGATAATGGCTAATCTGACGATCCTCAACTCCCCTTTCCTGCCTTTGTCCACAGCCTTCAGTCCTCTTGAAGCTTCTTAAGGGCTGCCTGGTGTGATCCCATTGACCTCTTCATCCATCCAGATCCTGTGAAGATCCCCTCTGGAGACTGCCTGTAATTCCAGCAAATGTCACCACTCCTGGTGCTACCATGCGGGCCAAGAAAATGCCAGCCGTTTGATGAGCTGGCAGTGCTCAGAGGAAGGAATTCCTTCCCCGAAGCATGCACAAGTCTCAGCAGAAATCAGTTAACACCCCGCCCATTCATTTACAAAAGGCTACCTTCAAATCAGTTAGAGACAGCTGCCGCTAATTTGGCTGCCACATAAATTATTGGTTTAGAAATGAAACTTTCATTTCTCCTTTTACTTATTAAGCATAACCCAAATCATAAGCAAGATTCCAGGCAGCACAGCAGCTGAGTGGTTAGCCTCACAGCACCAGGGACCCGGGTTCGATTCCACCCTCGGCTGATTGTTTGTGTGGAGAATGCACATCCTCCCTGAGTTTCCTCTGGGTGCTGCAGTTTGCCCCCACAGTCCAAGGATGCACACACTAGGTGAATTAACCATGGGAAATGCAGGGTGACAGGGGTAGGATAAGAGTGGGTCTGGGTGGGATGTCCTTCAGAGGTGCAGTGTGGACTTGATGGGCCAAATGGCCTGCTGTCAAACTGCAGGGATTCTATAATCTACATTTACCAGGATAGGAAGAGAGACTTTAGAAACACTCACTTGCAGAGGAGAAGGCTAAAGGGAGATCTGATAGAAGTTTTCAACATCAGGAGAAGTCTGGATAGAGTACATAACAAGAAACTATTCCTACTTGTAAGAAGATCAAGAACCAGATTTAAAGTGAATTGCAAACAGGACTGCAGTGCACTTCCTCGAAGTGTTATGGAGGCAGGTTCATGGTTCAGGCATTCATGAGATAATTATTTGAATAAAAAATATGTGCCATGGTTGAGGGAAAAGGCAAGAGAATAGCAGTAAGTCAAAATGCTGACTGGAGAGCCAATGCAGACATGGTGAACTTGAATGGCCTCCCTCTGCCCTGTAACACTTCAGTCATTCTGATATGGTATAACTGCTGAATTTTATCTTTCTCATTGTCTGGGAATTTGATTGGCATTGCGAATTTCTTTGGAAAGCTGTTTAATTGCTTGACACTTTTACAGGTAAGAAGAGGAATGGTGTCCAAAAGGAAGAAAGCTAAACCCTGGCTCCAAACGTAATCGCCATCAACTTCACACCGATAAATCCTTACAGTGCTTTTTAGGATTAGGTAAAGGTGCGACATAACTAACTGTATTACAAATGATGTATTTTGTACCATTTTCTTCGACTTTTGTAAATTTTATAAGGTAACATTGGTAGGCATAGTATAAAAATTGCAACTTGCAGAATCTCCAGGATTTGAGAATCAAAATTACTTAGTTTTGAACAGGAAGGAGTGAGTTTGAAAGTATTTAAGTCTCACAGCAGCTATGAAACGTGGAGACAGAGTGTATTATGGTAGCACCATAACAAGGTTAATTGATTATAATAAATTATTTCAATAACTAATTTTAATCTTTCATCCCTGGTATAATGTTTAACTTTTAAACTACACAATAGGCTTTTCATCTTCAGTGCTGCCAATAGTCTTTTGTATAGATTTCTTTAAAAACTGTACTTTTATATTAAGAAATGTTATCTTCTATTGTAGTGAATTAACAAGGTGGAACCTTTACAACTACTGAGTTCCCTGCTATAATTTTAATAGAAATTACAATTTGTGAGTTCATGGATGCTGCTTAGCTCTTATCACAGGAAGTATCCACCTAGGGCTAATTCAATATGGAGGTTGTCAACAAGAACTCTGGAAGCTGTAATGTAACCATGATATGCATACCAATTTAGCTGTCTTTGTTCTGTATTCGTTTTGAAGTGTTTTAATAAATGCCTTCTCTTCAGATGCTCTTCCCTTTATTTATTTTTTGAGTTCTTATTCAATTTGTAATTTCTTCAATTGGAGAGACTTTTATGTCTTCCTGAGAAAGCAAGTAATACAATGAATGTCTCTGTTCTTTGCTGAATTACTTGTTACCAAGTTAATACTTTTAGCTTCATGCTCCATCGTAAGAAAGGGTCTGCCTTTCTTTGAGGAAAACAAGGCAGAGTTTCTTAGTTTTCTCAAAGGATTTTCATTACTTGTCAAAACCTTTACAGAACCTGGGGAATGATGCTGAACAAGGAGACCTAGGGGTGTAAGGTGTGTAGTTCCTTGAAAGTGGAGTCGCAGGAAGACAGGGTGGTGAAGAAGGGGTTTGGCATGCTTGTCTTCTTTGGTCAATGCATTGAGTATAGGAGTTGGGAGGTCATGTTGCAGCTGTACAAGTCATTGATTAGGCCACTTTTGGAATACTGCATTCAATTCTGGTCTCCCTGCTATAGGAAAGATGTTGAAAGGGTTCGGAAAAGATTTACCAGGATGTTGCCGGGATTGCAGAGATTGAGCTACAGGGAAAGACTGAATAGACTGGGGCTATTTTCCCTGGAGCGTTGGAGGTTGAAGGGCGACTTTGTAGAGGTTTATAAAATTATGAGGGGTATAGATGGGGTGAATAGCCAAGGTCTTTTTCCCAGGGTAGGGGAGTCCAAAACTAGAGGGCATAGGTTTAAGGTGAGAGGGGAAAGACTTGAAAGGGACCTGAGGGGCAACTTCTTCATCCAGAGGGTGTTGCATGTATGGAACGAGCTGCCAGAGAAAGTGGTGGAGGTGGGAACATTTAAAAGGCATCTGGATGGGTACATGACTAGGAAGGGTTTAGAAGGATTTGGGCTAATGTCTGGCAAATAGGACTAGATCAGTTTAGGACTCGGCATGGACGGGTTGGACCGCATGTTCTATTTCCATGTTGTATTACTCCCTTCACTTCATGTGATGACCTTTATTCTCTGTGTGAGTAATTTTCTTCTGTGTGGATATCCCTTCAAATGAAATCATTCATTTCAATCTGTTTCTTTCTTTATTTCTTTCCTTCTTACAATCCATTTCCATTTTCATCTCCACCTGGTACAGAGACAGTTCTTGACTCACTTTTGAATAATTTCACTACATGTCTCATTAATCTTTTCTCATACTTGTTGAGATCACTGATAATACAAACCGTTGAAAGAAGCAAATAACGCAGCAGAGAATATTAGCTGGAATTTTACAGCAATACTTCCAAACCTTCCCTAGCTAACTGCCGATCTAATTCCATGTAAAATAAACATACATTAGTGGGCAAATTGCAATGATACAAACTATAAATTACACATGGAAAGCAGATACAAGAATCTCAGAAAATTACAAACATTTGTATTGGCCCACATACAAATGTAAAACCATTTGCAATCTCTCAGTCTTTCCAGCTTGGACTGTGGAGCATAAGAACCCTTACTTCTCTCAGTCAATGGGTTTGCTCCTTGTGTCACCTATAATAGAAGTTCCACTCCTTCTGTCCAAAGGCAGTAACCATCCAAGCAGCACACTCCTGCAAACATTTTTAACTGGTTCTTGACTATACTAATGGCAAAGAATTGTCAGTGGCACCTTTTATAAGACTCCTTTAATAAACCTCTTTTGTTGGTCTACTTGGCTCTGGCAAAATGGATGCCTAACTATAGAATTGTCCTATCCACAATTTCTGTTCTTACCCTGTCTTCAGTATTCTGCATATTTTAGCATGCACAGTTGCTTACACATGAGTCATCTTTTCCCTCAACCGTTCTCCTGTTTGCAAGCCACACACCTTTCATATGTTAATCATAGAATCCCCACAGTGTGGAAACAAGCCCTTCGGCCCAACAAGTCCACACCGACCCTCGGAACATCCCACCCAGGCCCATACCCCTATAACCCACCTAATCTACACGTCCCTGAAGGCTACAGGCAATTTAGCATGGCCAATCCTCCTAGCTTGCATATGTTTGGACTGTGGGAGGAAACCAGAGCACCCAGAGGAAACCCACACATACACGGGGAGAATGTGAAAACTCCACACAGACAGTCGCCCGAGGCTGGAATCAAACCCTGGGTCCTTGGTGCTGTGAAGCAGCAGTGATAACCACTGAGCCACCTCAGTGCCTGCTGGTACTGCTTCCAGGTCAAGGATCGTCAGGTCATAAGGAGTGGTGTTCCTTATTATTCAAAAAAGTTATTATTAGTTGCTTTGTAGTGCAGCTATCAGGTGTTGCTGAAAAAAGAGACATGCTGTTGAAACCATTTATCTTGTGTGTATCGGGACAAATGCAAGAATATAAAAATTTTTAAGAGAGTAACAAGTTATACTACAGGACAAAAGGAAAATGCCCAAGCAATGCACAATTTTTGAACTAAACAAAGCCCTGTGGGATATCATTTCCTGGTGCATTCTTTGTGGTGATCCCTCAAGCAATCAGAGTTGACCTGCCAATCAATCAGCACGTTTTTTTCCCATGCTATACAAATTATTGCTGCTTTGGAAATTTGCCATTCTTGAGTTTGTCCTGGTGAGGCAAAGTGAAAAGCTTTGGGTCATCTTTTTCATCAAAAGCTACAAACAATCCCTTTACAAGTGATGTGAATTCTTCAAAGAGCTTTTCAAGCTCTTCTTAAAAGCAATTACAGATTGTACAAACATTTTAAAGAAATTATAAATTCCCCTTACATTAGTTTCTGAGTCAAAGATCAGGACCCAGAATTGGGTCCTTTACTGAGAATAAGGAATTTCAAGAAACATGACAATGATTGCAGACTGGGATTGTTCACTCAAATTTACTGCATTCATTAACAGTACATCAGACTTGCGGAAACCTTTTCTTGATTGCAGACCCAGGTGGGCCATGTGGTAGTTTTGCAGCAAACCCTGTCCCTAAGAAATGGCCGGGGACCAGTCAGTGCCTCCTCCTCCTCAGAAAGACAAACCACAGTTCTGTTGGAAGCTGGGGAGAGAATGCAGAGGAAACTTGTGGATAAGCGAGATTTTAAGGTGAAACTTTATTTGCTTGTCTTCTGTTGTTGATATCCAACCTACCAGAAACCAATGCTACTGTTTGAAGGAAGAGTAAAGGCATTGTTCTGATGCCCTGGTCAACATTTAATCCACAGCCAACACCTAAAATAATTTTAGAGTCATTACCTCATTCCTGTTTGCAAGTAACTGGTTGCCATTTTCCTGCACTAATGCAGGAATTACACTTTCAAAGTACTTAATGGGCTGTGAACCCCTTTGTGATAAAAAGTGCAATACAACCGAAGATCTTTCTTTCATCATTCCACTTTTGAATTGTAACTTAGCCTAATAGCACCAACTGTTTAATGATCTTTCAGTATTATCCCCTTCCGATAAGCTAGCAATGGTTTTAAAAACATTTAAGTCCTAAGTGCTGTGAGAGAATGTGACTGCTCCCAACCCTATGAACTTTCTCAGATTGGGAGGGACTGTGGAGATTTGCGGCATCTTTATGATGGCTCATTGCCAGCATAGGTCACTGGGAGTAACAGCATGAACATTCTCTGCACAGAAAGAATGTTGTGGATGTGTGTAAACAGCCTCAATCACTGCTTAATTCGTTTTGTAACCTGAAACAAAACATCTGAGCATCACAAAAGAAGCTTGTGCTGAACTATCAGTTGCAAAAGATTTCCGCAAGGTTATATCTGCATTCGAGAATTAAAAGAGGACAACATTGCATTAATTTAATAGACCTTCGTTAGCTCGTTAATTTTACACTCCAAAGTTCTCCTCATCTGATACGATGAGACAATTGTCAGTTGTGGCAAAGTCACAAGGTCTGTGGCGTCAGGCCTTAAACAATGGAACAGTTAGTAGCCTGGCTAAGCGTGCACCCACAGGAACTAAAAAGCTGACAACTATCCTCAAGGTGGGACATTTTCTAGTCCCTCCCAGATTTGGCAGTGATCAAACTATTCAATTTGCTGCTACAGAGGATGGACTTTAATCCAGCCCATGGCAACCAGGCAGGTTTAATCACAGGGGAGAGCTATACCATGTGAAACCTTCCCATGATTAAGTTGGAGGAGATAACAGGGAGACCTGCATGAATGCTGGTGGGATGTCAATTGGCACATTGACCAGTACCGATCCTAAACCCACCAGAATTTCATGAGGACTGCATGTGAGTGTCACAGCTCCCCATACAGAAAAAATGGTCATACTTGCAAATAACGCTGTCAGTTCAGCCTTTTGTATACTTCGTATTGGAGCTCCAGGATGAACAGTGCATACATTTCCAAGCATTACTGTTGTTTTTTTTTTAACTGGTTTTGTCCTTCGCTAGTTCTCCTGCGTTTCCGGAAGGCCATCATGTAGGGTTTACCTCCAGCATTCTGGATGGGGGTCCCTGCTCTCAAACGTGCTTAATGCCTGACTGGAGGACCTGACATCAGGAATGGGTGTTGGCTGCTGAGAATTACCCCCTGCCCTTGCTTCCTCTTCCTTGATTCCGCTCCCTGAAACCCCCTCAGTCCAGAATGGTCCCTGCCCCTGCACTAACTGATGACAGCCACGGCTCCTGTAAGAGAGAGCTCCCATCTTCTGAATGACCAGCAGCTCTCAGGTAGGCTTTACACCCCTAAAGTCTTAGATCCCAAATAAGGACCAACTCTGGCTAGTTAAGTGCCTGAGGAGCATTTGAATCATTTGGGCCTCCCCAACAGAAGTGATGCCTGCTCCCAGTGGTTCTCCAACTAAGTTGACAGGACCGTGTCAGGAACAATAAATTCCACCGCCTCTATTGGATGACAAACTTTACAAAATATATTTCAGGATTCTTACACCAAGTGAATTGTACTTTTTACAGAATCTCATTCTGAAGTTGGTGCAATACATTATATATGACTGTTAAACTACAGTCAAGAAATAAATTTTCACCCCAGGCATACAAACGTGTACAGAGTGTTTCATTGTAGTTCCTTAACCAGAGG